TATATGACAGCCCACCCTTAGGTCCATATATGACAGCCCATCCTTAGATCCATATATGACAGCCCACCCCCCATCCATATGTGACAGCCCACCCTCCATCCATATATGACAGCCCACCCTCCATCCACATGTGACAGCCCACCCTCCATCCACATGTGACGGCCCACCCTCCATCCATATATGACAGCCCACCCTCCATCCACATGTGACAGCCCACCCTCCATCCATATATGACAGCCCAACCTCCATCCACATGTGACCGCCCACCCTCCATCCATATATCACAGCCCACCCTCCATCCACATGTGACAGCCTACCCTCCATCCATATATGACAGCCCACCCTCCATCCATATATGACAGCCCACCCTCCATCCACATGTGACAGCCCACCCTCCATCCATATGTGACAGCCCACCCTCCATCCATACATCACAGCCCACCCTCCATCCATATGTGACAGCCTACCCTCCATCCATATATGACAACCCACCCTCCATCCACATGTGACAGCCCACCCTCCATCCATATATCACAGCCCACCCTCCATCCACATGTGACAGCCCACCCTCCATCCACATGTGACAGCCCCCCCTCCATCCATATATGATAGCCCACCCTCCATCCACATGTGACAGCCCCCCCTCCATCCATATATGATAGCCCACCCTCCATCCACATGTGACAGCCCCCCCTCCATCCATATGTGACAGCCCACCCTCCATCCATATATCACAGCCCACCCTCCATCCACAGGCACCACCCAGTAGCCTTCTCCATTCTTCCCTTCCTCCACAGCACTCATCCTGCAGCACTGTGTACTGTGTGCTGATGCCAGTACCTGTCCCCACTCTGTCCTCAGCCCACACAGAACTGAAGCTCCCGCAGACACACCTGCACACAGCAGCTGCCAACACTGTCCAATGAGATCTTGAATGCTGTCCAGATCTACCCAGAAAGGTTAAGCTGTCCCAGATTTAGGATCCCTTCAATGGGTTGAGTGAATGAGTGATTATTCTTTGGTTTCAGGCTCAGACTGATCCAGCAAGGCAAGAGAAGGGGGCAGAGACTTGAGATTTCTCCCCTTTGGGGCTCTGGGGTCACTGGGAGGGAAGGGTCTGGTGGGAAAGGTGCTTGCTTATTTCCTGGTTTGAAACAGACTTTTAATTAAAACTGAAAGTCGGGCGTAATGGGACCATTCAATCCCAACGTTCTTAGAAGCTTCCAGGAACAATTACAGTTTTTGAAGGAAGGAGACATTGAAAACAGGACGTCGCATGGCTGGTTTGCTTCTGCCACCTGGTGGAGATCTATGGCAGGCACACCATGGCCTTTCCTGCACTTTTAAGTTACCACAACCTGTATAAGATGCTGGGGACCTGGAGCAAAGGGCAAGAGGTGGAGTCTGCCCACAGGAAGATGATAGTTGGGTGAGAGAGTGAGACTAGGAAACAACCACCGTGAGGCATGCCTGACAGAAGCATTCATTCCTCACTCGTTCCCTTATTCATTCAGCAAGATGCAGAAGCCGGAGGGAGGTTGCCATGTGGAGGGGAACTAAGCAGCGCACAGTGTGGAATTGAATGCTCTAGGATGAGACTAGCAGGAGATGAGGCTGGGAGGCAGTGAGGGGCTCTGTGGTGCAGACCATGAGAGTCACTGAATGTTTGTGATGTTTGGGAGAGGAGGGGTCAAGGGTCATTAATTAGTTCAGTTTATGGGGCCCAGGAAGGGTCTCTGGGGGACCAGACTTGGGGTCTGAGGATGTGAACAGGGACAAAGATTCAAAGAACAGGAGAGATCTGAACAGTGGGGCAAGTTCTGAGATAGAGTATACACACTTTATCGGAGGTACTGTAGAATGGGTTCTTCAAATATTTAATGGCTGGAAAGATGATGGCTCAACAGTTAAGAGCGCTTGCTGAACAGTCATGAGGACTGGAGCTCAGATCACAGAATGATGTAGCAAGCCAGAATCTGGTGCATGCCTAGCACGAGGAGGCAGATATGGGAGGATCACTGAGGCTTGTTGGCTTCCAGCCTAGTAGGGAAAACACATGCACCAGGTTCAGGAAGGGAGGAGAGCGACGGAGGAGAATACCCCATGCTCTGTTGTAGCCTCTGTGTACCACTTGGGTGCATGCATCTGCACATACATCCATACATCCACATACACAGGCATGTACACACAACATAAATAAATAATCTAATATTTATAATAATCTACATAATTTTAAGGCTCGAAAGGGAAATGGAGCAGCAGAGCTCCAAGCAGAAGCCTAATCCTTAGGTGCCAGAAATCCCTGGGGAGATGCATGCTTTAAGCCACTATTGGGTTTTCATGGGCTAGGCAAGGGGGTGGAGGGGTTATTCACAATTAGTTACTAAGATTCACTGAGCCTCTACTATACCTGATGTTGACCTTCACCTAGGGAGCAAATAGGGAGCAGAAGCAGTGTTATCCCTGCCCTCTCACAGTTCACAACCTTGTGGAGGACAGGCACCCACTGAAAGGCAAAAATTAGGATATAGTGACATAGGTACACATGGGTACTACAGAAGGGAAAGCTGATGGTAGGAAATGCAGAGCTGGTGACCAATCCTTCCCCAAGAGGTCTGAGTGGAGCTGACTTCTGCCTCAAGTGCCACAGGAACCGGGCAGATGAGCAGCCTTTAGTCACTACAGCCCAGAACCCACATCCTGGCTCAGAGGCCACCACTGGAAGCAGGATGTGGCACAGTACATTGAATGATGTCATGGGTCCAAAGTAGCTGAGGTGGAGACAGGAACATCTATTAGATTGGTCTCTTTCTTTTTTTAAGATTAATTTGTGGGGGGGGGTCTCTACAGAAGCCAAAAGAAGGCATCATATCTCATGGAACTGGAGTTACAGGCAGTTGTGAGATGCCAGATATGGGTGCTGGGAACCAAACTCTGGCTCTCTGCAAGAGCAGCGACTACTCTTAACCTCTGAGCCATCTCTCCAGCCCACAGACTGGCTGAGTAGACCAGGCTGGCTGTCCAGTGAGCCCCTGGGACCTCCCTGTCTCCGCTTCTGTGATACTGGGATTATAAGCATGCGGCATCACATCTGGCTTTTTCTTAACATGCGTTCTTGCGATGGAACGGAGGTCCTCATGCTTGCACACTGAATACCAGTTCTTCCACTCTGCTGGCATGTAACACTCAGTAAATCAGAATTTCATGTTGCGTGTTGACTCAGAAGAGGGAACAGACGCCAGCCTCTGCCAGGCTTATGGTCAACAGCACCGCCCTGTGGTGGGAACTGGAATGATGGTGGTAGTACCCAATTAACCCATTCCCTGAAGCTGGAACTTTTTTTTTTTAATTAAAAAAAAATATTTTCTTATTTTTATGTGTATGAGTACTACCTGCATCTATGCATATGCACCCATGTTGTGCAATGCCTGCGGACATCAGAAGAGGGAACAGGATCCCCTGGAACTGGAGTTAAAACAGTTGTTAGCTACAATGTGGGTGCTGAGAATCGAACCTGGGTCCTCTGCAAGAGCAGCCAGTGCTCTTAACTGCTAAGCCAGCTCTCTGGTCCATAAAGCTTGTATTTCTAACAGTTTGCAGGGAACTCATGAGGATGAAGGGAAAGGGGAGCTTCAACAGCCTAACAATTAATGCTCTGCTAATAAACACATCCCAGATTTTCAACTTTTTTGCAGTTTGTTTGATTGATGTGTATTAGTGCTTTGTCTGCATAGACAGAAGTATACCATGTGCATGTAGTGCCCACAGAGGCCAAAAAAAGAGCACTGGATCCTCTGGAACTGGAGTTACAGATGGTTGTTAGCCACCATATGGCTACCAAGGGATCCAAATCCAGGTCCTCTGCAAAAGCAGCCAGTGCTCTTAACCACTGAGCTATCTCTCCAGCCCTTACATTTTGTATTAGTTTTGAGTCAGGGTCTCATATATCACAGGCCTCTAATTCTCTATTGCTAAGGATGATCTTGAACCTCTTGCCTCTACCTCCCAAATGCTGGGATCACAGGCATGTGCCACTTATTTCTAACACCTGATTGATACAGGCTGGGATCAAAAACAGGCTTTGTACATGCTAGAAAGGTACTCTCACCCTGAGCCCCAGATCCCAATTTTTAAAAAATTATTTTTGGATAAACTTTTTATGTGTATGAGTGTTTTACATGCATGTTTGTAATACACCTGTGTATGCAATGCCCTCAGAGGCCAGAAGGTGTCAGATCCCCTAAAATTTGAATTACTTAACCCCTCAGTCATCTCTCCAGCCCCCAACATCCCAATTTTTGAGCAATTAATTAGAAAGATTCAGAAAAGATGACTATAGATTTGGATACTAAAGTAATATTATAAGTCTCGGAATTTTTAAAAATTTTTTAAAATTTAGAAAAGAGAATACTAAAATAATATATATAATCCTACTACTGGAGGAAGAGGAGAAAGAGGAGGAGGAGAGGAGGGAGAAGAGGGGGAAGAGGAAGAAGAGGAGGCGGAGGAATAGGAGGAGGAGGAAGAAAGGAAGAACGGGAGAGGGAGGGGGAGGGGGAGGGTGAAAGGAGGTGGGCAGAAAATACCCATTTGGAAGAATTGTACAGAAAAGGACAGCAAAATAACAGCAGAGCCCTGGGGGCCAGGGCCTAGGGTAGTTACATCCTGATTTTTGTTACCACAAATGCATGGCGTTTGTGTGGGGATAGAAACAAGACAGTAACTCAGAACACAAAGGCACTTCAAAACATCTGAAGTGGAAACATTCTGGCCTCCCTGCAAGTCCAAGCTTCACGCATCTGGACCCTGCATATCCAGAACCAATCCTGAGCCATTCTCTACGGGGCGGAGTTCAAACCCCGCCTACTTCCAACTCCCACACCCATCCTGGCTCCTAAGCTGCTAGCTTTGACATCCAGGGTCCACTCTGCTTTGCCCAGGAAGCTTGAGGAGCAGTGGCCGACCAGCTGGGGACAGTCCTCATCCCGTAGACCACACACCTGACATATGCACGTTCCTGAGGCAAGTCAAGGAGGCATTGAGGCGAGCACACTCCTCCTGGTTGGCTCCATACTTCTCCACCGTCTCACACACCTGCTCGTCTGTCATCTCCAGAAGGTCCTCCAGGCTCAGCTGGTCAGGGGAGATTTCCTAGGGAAGGGGACAGACAAGGACTGTTAGCTATACCTGGAACCCAAATGCCCAGCCAGAGGGAACACCATGGAACCTCCATCTCACCTCCTAATGGGACCCAGTGGAACTGCAGGAGGGAACAGAATGGAGTCTCCACACTGCCCTCTAGTGGCATCCAATAGAAGACAGGCTACTACAAACACTTGGCCTGGAATCTGTGGTCTGGGTTTGAGTCTCATGTTTCCCACTTAGATGACCTCAGACAAGTCGTTTAGCCTCTCTGGGACTTTTTTTTCTCACTTATAAAATGGGGTATTGAGTGTAGGTACATGTTCAGTACATGGTCAACACTTCCAACACGCAGCCCAGCTCCTGAACCCCTTAGGTGACAAGCCCCACTGCATTCTTCCGTGGACGGCCCTCAGTGTCCCCATGAACTTGACCTGCAGGAACCCAACCCAAATACCAGGGTGGACTCAAAACGAGCCAACTGGACACAAATGAAATCTCCTGCTCGCTGCCCGCCACTCTCCATTTCCTCTCAGACATGCCCACGGATTGGGATTCATTCTAAACCTTTAAGAGCCCTAAGAGGAAGGGAGAGGAAGGTCTGTGGTGGCTCAGAGCTGGAAATGAAACCAGAAAAGTGACTGAGCACCGTGAGGCTATGGCAGGACTGGGGAATTGTATAAAGCAGGGAAAAGGACCCCTCTGAGCAGACCACTGCTAGAGAAGCAGGATTCCCAGGTCACCGTGTGTTGAATAGAGGTACTTTGCCACCAACAAGCAGCTGGCCTCCCCAAACAATGTATTAAACATGTCTACAGCATTACCAAGAATTTCCTCAAGCATCCGCATTTGCCCGCCTACAAATGTTTCTGTATATGCATATGAGAGCCTCCATTTATAGAAGTTAATGGTAGTCAACAGTTTTACACATGCATATTAGTATATTATTATTTAAATAAGGCTTTTGAAATCTGTGGATGGCAGTCTAGGGCTATGCTGTGGACTCCTTCTGCCCTCTTGTGGCCATGTCTATGTATTACAACAAAATACAGATTTCACATAAAACCAGTACCATAAATTCCATCTTCCCCCCACATCCCCAAAGAATAAGCTACAGGGAAAAGCCAAAGCCCAGTTAGTACCTTTGCAGTCAGTACACTAGCGAAGGGACAGAAAGGACATTAACTGAGTCACCTGGTGGCAAGCAGACATAGCGTGTGTAAAACTCTCAGATGGGACAAGCCAAGATCCGAGGAACAGAGAGAACCACATTTAAAGAATGATGCTACTTTAGTTCCATTCTGTTGCTGTAAGAAAACACTCAAACCAAAAGCAACTGGGGAAGGAAAGGGTTTATTTGGTTTACAAGTCCATTCATTGATAGAAGTCAAGGCAGGAACTCAAGGCAGGAACCTAGAGGCAAAAACACGGCAGAGGGCAGCTTGCTGGCTCACTCACTAACTTCCTTATACAGCCCAGGACTATGTTCCCAGTGACGCTATGGCCCACAGTGGGCTGGGTCCTCTTGCACCAATTAATAATCAAGACGGTCCCACCTGATAAAGACAATTACTCAACTGAGACTCTTTTTTTCAGGTGATTTCTAGGCTGTGTTGACAGTTAGTGCTGGGTAGGACAGCCATGTGCTCCTTGATGTAGAACTCAACTCTAGACTTTAATCTTTTGATTTAAAAATATGTATGTGTATTCGTTACCCTGAAACTTAGGATCATAAAAAAAGGCATAAACATACATTTTTATAACATGGAATGTGAGAGAAAAGGTATCCAAAGAAAACAAATTCTTGTATGTCTTGGTAGAATAACACTAGCTGGGATAGTGTCTCCAGTACTTGATGCGGATTTTCTTTTAATGTCACAAAGATCACATAATAAAACCAGAGGGGTTTTATGTCTGTCCGGCTGTCACCGCTTACAGATTCCAGGATGCTAAAACTCAGAGCAGTTAGACCTTTTGCCCAACATCACATAGCTAGAGAGTGATAGAGTCAGAGTTTGAACCCAGGGTACCTCCTGTCAGAGATGGCTCCCTATTTCCTGGTCCATCCTGGAAGGGTGCCATCTGGTGGACATGCTTATGAACTGCAAGCAGAAGGCCAGAGCTCCTCCCTCACCACCTGGCTGGTGTGGCCTTTGAATCAGATGCTGAGAGACTAAGGTAAGTATCTCAAGTTCAGTACAAGAGGCCAAGAGAAGGGGTGAACTGGAGAGAGAGAGCCTTACATCAGACAAGGACTCACTAATTCTGATTTGGAAACCTTTCCTTGTTAGGAAAACTTGGTTTTTAATTGTTGATTCCAACTAAAAATTTGAAGATCAGATTTTTTAAAATATTTTCTTATTTTTATTTTATGTGTACGAGTGTATTGCCTGAATGTATGTAAGTACACCCATGTCGTGCAATGTCCATGGAGGCCAGAAGAGGGTGTCAGATCCCCTGGAACTGGAGCTATAGATGGTTGGCCATGTGGGTGCTGGGAACTGAACCCAGGTCCTCTGCAAGAGCAGCCACTGCTCTTAACCACTGAGCCATCTCTTCAGCCCCTCAAAGATCAGATCTTATCAGTGCAACAAAACTTGTCTGCCCATCAGACCAGTTTGAAGGCTGCCAGTTTTCAACTCCTCTTCTAGAAGACTTGTTTCTGCTTCCCTGAGGGCTCCACAAGTTAGCCCTTGATATACGAATATTTACATAACCCCAAAGCATCTGGGAAATGCACCTGACTACAAAATTAAAGTGTGCTATTTGTACCTAGAATGACTTGTGATAGTTCTAATTGTCAATTCAGGACACAATCTAGGATCACAGGGGAAGAGAATCTCAATGAGGGGTTGTCTGGATCCAGTTGGCCTGTGGGCATGTCTGTAGGGGATTATCTTGATTATGTTAATTAAGGTGGGAAGACCTGCCCACTGTGGGTGGCACCATTCCCTAGGCTTGGAGTCCTAGTCTATGGAAAAGGGGAAAGTGAGTTGAGCACTAAGCATGCATGCATGCACTCTCTCTGCTCTTGACTGGAACTGGGTCTAGCTGCTTTAGGTTCCACCATGACTTCTTGCAATGACAGAGAGCAACCTGGAGTTGTGAGCCAATAAACCCTTCCTCCCCTGCACTGGTCAGGCAGGGTATTTTGTCACAGCAACTGGAAAGGAAAATAAGGCTTTTCATTCATTCCAAAGATACAGTAAGAATACCTATCCCAGCATTGCAGTCATCCTGAGAGTGAAAGAAGGCTGCACTGTGGATATGCCTGTGGGAAATGGGGTTGGGGTGGTGGGAGAAGAACATGAGGGGGCAACACAAAGCTCAGGCTCTTAGTGCTGATAGGCTTGGGGGAGATTCTTGCCCTTGAGGACAAGCTCTAAAACTGACAGAAGGGTTCATGGAAAAGGGAGGAAAGAGCCCCTTGCACCTATGGACCCCCCATTTTCTGGTCAGCCACAGGAAGGTGGACAGAAAACAGTGATTCCTGCTGGACCCTCAGAGACCATCTGTTCTCTCACTGGCCCCTCCTGGTCACAGGCTGGACAAATTGCTTCATCTCTGAGCCTCAGTTTCTCTCCCTGTACCATGGGAATCATAGATCTCAAAAGATGATGCAAGGAGCCTAGGTGGTCCTGAACATCAAGATCATTTGTGCAAAGCCTTGAGCCACAACAAGGGACAGGGAGAGTCATAACAGGCATTGGAGTTTGTTAAGTCTGGCTCCGCCGCTCTGGAATCCCAGAGGGTAAGGAAACCTCAGTCTTCTGAGACCTTGAGGATGTGTTCCAACCTTGAACAAGCACACAAAGCAGTGGGTGATCCGGCTCCCTTTGGCCATTGGAAAACTTGTTGCTGCCAAGTTTTCTGATGAAATAACAAACTAACCTTCACTGACCAGACTCTGAGCTGGACATTTTATTTAGATCACCTCATTTCACAACAAGTACCTAGGAGAGGACAAAGGGGCACACACCTGTAATCCAGGACTTGGGAGATGGAGGTAGGAGGATCAGAAGTTCAAGGCGATCTTTAGCTAGCTAGTAAGCTTGGGGCTAACCTGGGCTACATGAGACCCATCTTTAAAAATGAAAAACAGAGGACAAGTTATCCACATTTTTTTTTCTTCTTCTTCTTCATGTGTATGGGGGTTGCTGATGAACATGCATACAGGTATGTGTGGAGGCCAGAGGTCAACTGCCAATGGCAATCTTCAGAAGCCATCCACCTTAGTTTTGAGAGGGCCTTTCATTGGTCTGAGGCTTACAGATTCCACTAGACTGGCTAGCCTGTGAGCCCCAAGGATCTGACCATCTCTGCCTCCCCAGTGCTAGGATTACAAGTATATGTTTCCACACCTGGCTTTGTTGTGTGGGCTGTGAGGATTGTACTCAGGTCCTGTGTTTGTATGGCAAGCACTCTACCAGCTGGGTCATCTGGCAGCCTCTGTTGTCCACATTTCACACATGGAAAGACTGATGTGCTGAGTCTGTGCAATCCAATATGGAGGCACTAGCTACATTAATTTCCATTAGACAAAATTAAAATTCCAGCTTCTCAGTCCCAAGCACAAACCACAATCCCAGTACTCAGTAAGTGCAGGAGTCTTGTGTGGCCAGTAGCCACTACATCAGACAGCACAGATACAAAATATTTCCACCACGGCCATAAGTTCCAATGGGCAGCACTGGTCTCCGAGGCAACCTAGAGGGGCTCCATGAAACGGTTGACCTGAGAGAAGTTCTGACCCCAGAACCATGCCTTCAGTGACCCCCAGATGCTGACTCTAGAACCCCACCCCCAGTGCATGCCCCTTCTCAGATACATCTGAGATCCAGTTAGGCTTCATCCAGCATATATTGACTGAGGGCCTACTATGTGTCAAGGGCAGTGCTGGGCCTAGCCCGAGCCCTGTAACCAGGAAGCAGCAAAGCAGGGAGTGTCTGGTCAGTAAGGCTGAAGGGGTGCAGGGCTGCCCGTGGTCACCTCCAGGACTTCCTTGCGCACGTCCACGATCCGGAACCAGTGCCTGAGCTGGGGGAAGCCGTCCAGCTCAGCGTTGCGCTCCTGCAGGGCCACCTTCTTCTTGCAGGACAGCTGCCGGCTGAAGTACTTCACCAGCTTGCTCTGCGGAGACAGGACAGGACGGGACAGTTCACAAACACTGCGGCTCAACCCTCGCTGCCTCCTGTGGACCCCAGCCAATTCTGTTCTAACACTGTCTCAATCATAATGAGATCCAGTGTTCTATCTGAGATGGTTTGGGGCATGGTTTGAGTGAACCTTGGTCCACAGTGTAACAATACTGAGAGGATATGGATCTTTTTAGCAGGTGGTGCCTAGAGGAAGGTGGTTCCATCAAGAGGACACCATCCTTGGAAGGGATTAATGTAGTTCTCTCACAACCACAGGAGGGCAGGCCCCTCATGCTTCTGCAAGCAGCCAGTTCCCTTCCTACTTCCCCACCATGTTATAATGTAATGCTACCTGAACCTTCCAGCCACTAATATCATTTATTTTCTTTATAAAGGATCCAGCCTCTGGTATCTTGTTATAGCAACCCAAAATGCACTAAAGATGCCACCCCACATCCTCACCATCTTGATGAAAATGGACAAATAGATGGCATTCAACATTTAGCTGGAGTGGGGATAGGGACTACACCTTGGTTCCACTGATATTTTAAATACACATATCATTTGACCCCAAAATTCCATGTTTAGAAACTCATTCTACCCCATTCATTCTATGAAAAAAACAAAAACAAAAAAACAAACATGTGCCCAAGGATGTTTTCTTACAATTTTCTTTGCAATAGTAAAAGACTGTAAACACCCTGGGAACCCATCTGTCCAAAACTTGTCATGTGACTGAATATGGGGGTCACAAACATTTTGGCAACAATAAAAGGTTTTTGTACATTCAATGACTACAAATTAATTCAAAACCAAACAGATAAGAACCCTCGGTGTTCTTGGCAGTGCTTATCCCTGTCTTCACTGCAGTCTTGGTTCTGAACATACAACACAGGCACTGTGCCCTGAGGACATCAACACATCATGCAGCACCAGTGAATGCTGCCTGTAGCAACTCAGCTCGAACTCTAGACTACACTATGAACTGCAGTTTTTACTGGGCATATGTTTTCTGCTCTTACAGAATCATCATGGCTTAATTACAGAAAACAAAGACTTCTATGTCTCCTTATCATCATTCCTCAGCATGTAAGTACCAAATTAGTACATCTTTGTTTAGTACTGTGTTAGAATGCTTGATTTTTTTATTTATTTTTATTTTATGTGTATGAGTGTTATGCCTGCATGTATGTAAGTGCACCTGTGTCCTGTAATGCCTGTGGAGGACAGAAGTGAGCATCAGATCCCCTAGAACTGGAGTTACAGACGGTTGCTAGCTGCCACGTGGGTGCTGGGATTTGAACCTGGGTCTTCTGCAAGAACAGTCAATGCTCTTAACCATTGAATCATCTCTCTAGCCCTAGAATGCTTGATTTTTTTTTTTCTGAGCTCCTTGGCATCTGAGCATGGATATAAAGTCATCAGGTAGATTTCAATGGTGATGTTTTAGAATGCTTGATTTTTAAAAATTGATGTTTGAGTTGCTAACTTGGGTTTCATTTAAAAAATAATTAAATAGGGCTAGAGAGATGGCTCAGCAGTTAAGAGCACTGGCTTCTCTTGCAGAGGACCCAGGTTTAGTTCCCAGCACCCATATAATGGCTAACACTCATCTGTAACTCCAATTCCAGGGGATCCAATGCTGTTTCCTGGTCTCTATGGGTATTGCAAGACAAGGGTGCCCTTACATACATGCAGGCAAAACATTTATACACATACAATAAAAATAAAGAAAAAAGAAATAGCTCAGCAATTAAAAGTACTGGCTGCTCTTGCAGAAGATATGAGTTTGGTTCCTCCCACCCACATGGCGCTCACAACTGTCTGATGCCCTCTTCTGGTCTCCTCAGACACACATGGTACACATACATGCATGCATACAGTACAAACAATCATGCACATAAAACAAAAATTAGCTTTTTAAGTAAATGAATTTTTTAAATTAAATGAATTTTGGCTTAGGATTAAGACAGAATTTTCCAACTGTGATGGTTTGAATGAGATTATCCCCCATAGGCTCCAAGTATTTGGACATTTTGTCCCTAGTTGATGGCTCTGTATTGGGAGGTCTTAAAAGGTGTGGCTATCCTGGAGGAAACACATCACTGTGGGGTGGGCTTACAGAGTTCTTAAGCCTTGACAGATCTTGAGTTGTTCTTACTGCCTGTGCCTGCTTGAAGATGTGAGAGCTTAGCTTCTCCTCCTCCAGCCACTTCTGTCACCATGCCTCCCTGCCATGATACACTCTCACTGCTTTGGAACCATAAGCTCAAATAAACTCTTCCTTATATAAGTTTCCTTGGTCAGTTTCTATCACAGCAACAGAAAAGTAACTAATACAGTAATTGGTACTAGGAGTGGGGTGTTGATGTGAAGAACCTGATCCTGTGTGGTTTTGGAGGAATGTGGAAGACTTTGGAAGTTTAGGCTAGAAAAGTGGTTAATTGCTGTAAGCAGAGCTTAACAGGTCATTCTAGTAGGTGTCTGGAAGAAAGTAATACTGAGAACAATGTAGTTCCAGAGGGAAATAAGGACTTAAGCAGCAATTGGGATATTTTGGCAAAGAGTCTGGCTGGAGTCCACCCACAGCCAAAAAGCTTGCATGAGGCTAAGTTGAAAAGCAATGGACTAATTTCTCTGGAGGAAGAAAGTTCAAAACAGCCTAACATAGAAATGGTGGTGTGGCTATTAATGGTGAATATTATACAGATTTACAGTAAAAAGGAACAAATGGGGCAGAAAGAAACACAGAATGTACAGTTTGGACTGAAAAAGAGCACTAGGAAGATAAACGTTGGAGCCAAGGCATGTGCTGGAGAGGATCCCTTTGATAATGAGATTAAAGTGATGCCTAAAGATTTGCACTCAATGGAGATGGTGCCTCCAGGGCAAGACCAGCTAAGTCTCCAACTTGTGAAAGGAAAATGCTGCAGGGGCTGAAGAGAAAAGCATCTAAAACGAATAAAGCAGGCCAGAGTCCATCCCAAACTTGCAGCTAAACTTGGCATTGTCGTTCACCTGGTGCTGGCTTTAGAGGCATGAAAGATACAAGAGAGGGATGTATGTCGCACACAGAAAAACTGGAGAGGCTGAGCCATCTAAGTCCTTTGGAAGTAAAGTCCCAGAAGTCGGACATGGAGCTACTGGATTTGGTGTTTGCCCTGCTGGTTTTCAGTCTTGGTTTGGGCTGGTATTTCCTCACTATGCCTCTATTCCTCCCTTTCGTAATGGTAATGTGTATTCAGTTCCACTGTATGTTGGGAGTATGTAATTTGTCTTTTGGTTTTGCAGAGGCTTACAGTTAAGAGATTGCCCTGAGTCTCAGAAGAGACTTTAGACTGAGGACTTTTAAATAGTTTTGAGGCTGGTAAAAGACTATGGGGACTTTTAAGAGTAGACTAAATGCATTTTACATTTTTACAGGGGAGTGGAATGTGATGGTTTGAATGAGAATGTCCCCCATAGGCTCCAAGTATTTGGACATTTTGTCCCATGTTAGTGACACTATTTTGGGAGGTCTTAGAAGGTATGGCTATCCTGGAGGAAGCACATCACTTTGGGGAAGGCTTAGAGAGTTCTTAAGCCCTGACAGATCTTGAGTTGCTCTTGCTTCCTGAGCCTGTGCCTGCTTGAAGATGTAAGAGCTTAGCTTCTGCTCCTCCTCCAGCCACCTCTGCCACCATGCTTCCCAACCATGATGGACTCTTGCCCCTTTGGAACCATAAGCTCAAATAAACTCTTTCTTCTATAAGTTGCTTTGGTCAGTGTTCCTATCACAGCAACAGAAAAGTAACTAAAACACCAACAATTTCTGAAATGGTGCTAAATATATTCCTGCCATTTTTGTTCTATATATTTATGCAAAACAGTGCTCTCAGCATTGGTGATTATAAAATCAAAGAATTTATCACCACTAAGAAGCAATATGGTGGCCTAAACAAGACCTGCATAACAGTAATACTAGTTGACAAGCCAACATGTATGGGGGGAATTTCACAAGGTCCCCCTCTAGATGAAGAGCTCCAGGCAATCAATATCTGTTGAGAAAGGGAGAATCAGTGTTCTCTAGGGATGAGCTCCCTGGTGGGTTATCTAACCCCAAGTGGTCAGCCCTTAAACATACCAGCAATAGTAAATGAACTCAGTGTATGTGTGTGTGTGTGTGTGTATATGTAACAATAATAATTAAAGAAAAGATCAGGAAGTTGAGAGGGAGTGGGGGAAACATGGAAGGACTGAGGGGGGGAAAGGAGAGGTGTACTCTACTCATGTAAGAAATTCTCAAAAAAATAAAAAATTTAAACTATAAAAGAAGAAACACTAAAGATACTCTGCTTCCTGCAGAATCAAATATCAAATAGTCAGTGAAGTTTTAATTATTTATGTACAAATTTTAATTATTTATGTAAATAAGGACATCCCTCTCCTTAGTATTCAAACTTGTTCTCATCTCTAGTAGTGATACTATGTATATATGTATGTAAACATATATATATATATCAAAGAATCATTTTGAAATAAATGTCTTTATAATTTACTATCAGTAAATGTTTGACTCATTACACCTGTACTGCATAAAAATTAGGTGAAAAGGAGTTATAAGTGGAGAAGTTTCCGAAGGCCTGCTCTACAGCACTTTCAAATAAAAAAAGTATACTGTGTACTGACAGACCACGGTTTCTAAGATGCCTTGATAAATAAAAATAAACTCTCCCACTCCCCTGCAAAATGTCCATGTGTGTCTTTATAAATGCAGAGCCTCTTTCTAGAGGGACTCTTGACACTAGGAAAGGGGGGAGGGATGATGGGGATAGCGGGAAAGATGATCTATTTAAACCTTTCTGTATTATTTGATTTCTAAGTCACACACAAATATCCATGAATTAACAAATGTGGCCTGTTTTTGGAGACAGGATCTCCCTGTAGCCCCAGCTGGCTTGGAACTCCCTAAGTAGACCAGGTTGGTCTCAATCTCACAGAGATCCACCTGCT